TCGGATTTTGGCAGTTTGTCAGGAGAGATGTCTTCAGTGGCAAACCAAGTCCAAAATAATGTTGCTTGAGAGTGGGTAATATTAGCCATGTAAATATTAAAATCTCCCACAGTTAGTGAGAAAAGCAGCAAAGTTATCTGTGAAGTCAGGATTAGCCTGGGGCTGGAGGATAAACAGCAGCAATTATGACGTTTGATAGGTCGAGGAAACTCACGGATAATTACAACAGGAACGTCACTGCAAAACCTCTGCAGCCACAGTCACGTGGTTTTGGCTTGAAAGTATTAAAGCTGTGAAATTACATGGGGTTGTTATAGATTTCAGAGAGGCACCAAATGTGGTCAACGGTAACATCCTAGATAAGAGACCCCCCCTGTTCATGAGTAAGTGTTGAACAGACTGCAGTTAGGAGGCGGCGTCTTACTGTATTTGGCCGCTCTGTTAGCTGACCTTGCTAAACTGGCTAACGCACCGGTCAGCAGCTCAGGTGAAGGTGAGAGCACAATGTTGGCACAAGGATGGTTCACCCCCTTTTCCCCCCTGCCCCTCCCCACACACACATCAGAAAATGAGAGAAATAAATAACCTCACAGAACAGATTGCACTCAGCCAGTCTCAGAACTACAGAATTCAACACACAGGTAGGTCGGTATTAACGGGCAGCGGCTGCTGATCGCACCAGTGCTCGTTCGACCAGAACTCTTTAACATCTCACATTATAAATCAAAGAGGAAGTTGCCTTATTTAACATACAAATATATGCAACTGGGTTGCTCCCTTCATCAGCTCCGGTGAGTCAACGTTGCTCGGATTTCTGGGTCAGTCGGCGTTGAGAAAGATGTTTTAAGAAAGTGGTGCTCACAGCTGCATAAACCACCACGATATTGAAGAAATCCCCCAGAAAATAACATTTAAAGATGGTCTTTAAACGTCTACGTGGTTCGTCTTTGACTGCTATTAGTTGGAAGTTTTGCAGATTATCACCAAAGGCAAAGGGTCTTTATATTAGGTATAAATGATTCAGCCTTAAGTCTTCACACTGTACTAAAACTGTTGTTGTTCCAAATTCACCAAACATGGTGTTTTTGTTTTAAAAATAGTAGTTTCTTCTACTTTTGATTAAAATTTTATGTTATTAAAACTATACAAAACACTTTTGGTATCAATTGTTTTACATAAACAGTAACTTTCACTTTGGTTCTATACTGTATGATTTGTTATCAGGTGTATCACTTATAATGCTGTGTTTCTGTAAATGTAGTGCTTTGTAAAATTGTGACTACTTTATAGAAATATAGATCTCTAGGGCATTTGTGTATTGTGCAAACTGTACTCAGCTTTAACCATTTAATCATTGTTTCCGATTGTCTATGTGTGTCTACTGGTCAGTTTGTTCTCTGTGCATTCTGGGAGTTCTGTGTCCGTGCCCCTGTGATGTCTATGTTTTGTCTTCCTGCGACCCACTGCGTTTTTGATTTTTTAAGTCATGCAGTCTCTCCGGTACTGCATTTGGGTCCTGCCATGATGGCACGTAACAAAAACGTTATCAAGACTCAATAAATGGAGCTCTTACATTTAAAAAAACAAAAACAAATACCATTTCATATTTTAGCACTTATTTTTTCCCCCCTCAGAATCTGGTGAGTAGGTTTGACACAAAACAAAATATTGCAGCCCCAAGCTCATAAATCTTACAGAATAATCCCATAGGAGGGAGACTTGTAGTGTGGAGCTGCTTAAGTTGTTTTGCCAGGAGCGGATCAGTAAAGTACACCAAAGGTCACGTACAACCAATTGAGTACAGCTCGACGAAATTTGTCATGCAGCTGCAGCCCGTACTGCGGTGCAACACAGCACGCACAAAATAAGGTGGCTTTGCGTTCATTTTGACTTGAACAATCTTATGGCTTGTGGGGGAGAAGCTGCTTTCAATTATTATTATTGATAATTGATTATCTCTCGCTTTTGTTGACAGTCACGGCCACCTCCTCTCTGTAGAGTAGACGTAGGTCATATATATATATAGTGTTGTATTCAACTGCAGACTTGGTTTGCAGTGGATCTAGTTGTTTTGGACAGCACTTGAGGGTCATCAGTAGAGGACTCAGGACTCAGCCGTGAGGAGTGGTGGTACTTGGGGAAAGGGCACTTAAGAGATTGTTGAAAAACTTGGTGTAATGTCACTGTTCGGGATTGATGGAGAATAACGTCGTATAGCAACAAAAAAATGTTCTGTTGGTTTATCTTTCAAAAAAAAAAAAAAAACTGCAAAAAAACAATTTAAGAAAAATAAATAACCCCTCATTATGGGTCCTGTAAGAACACCTTGCTTTTTTAATTTGACTTATGAAATGCGTGTTGATGCCGTTCATACCCATCTAATGAGATGAGCTCGGTGCAGTAAACAAAGAGATTATGCAACAACACAATAAATAAAAGAACGTTTTCATCTGACCCAGGGTTTCTATTCCTTCACTAATTTACAATAACAACAACAATATTTGACTGTGTTTGTTGGTGATTAACAGTATAGGCCAGACAATCCAATGCTTACAATCAACAAATAACAAAATACGAACTATACTCCAACTGACCAATGCCAGCGATTGATGCCGCATTTAACTCTTTTTGCTTTTAACCTACAGCAGTTGGCTAGCCTTCCTCATAATAAACATTACTACTCTCCACCACCAAGACATCTGCAGTGTCCTCTCTTGACCACACCATATCTGAGTACCTCGTGGTCCCAGGCTAAACTGCAAGGAATCTCAGAAGCCCTGGAGATTTGTTATGTCAGCACAACATACACAGGGCAGGGTCTTTGTGCACATCAACCACTGGGCTCAGCTGTGGGCAAATAGTAACACTCTAATAGTCTCTTTGAGGTGAGGCTAAGGATGCAGGCTCAACAGAAAAGCAATGGGTTGTCGGCGCACAATAAAGCAGGCTTAAGTAGTAGGAGAGAGTGAGGCACTGTACCATTCATATAACACTGAACAGATGCTTAGAGCCACAGTCTTTCTTGAAGAGTGCAACACTCAGAAACTGAATCCCCATTAAATGACAGCCTAAGCTAAGACTCAATTTTACCTGGAGGTTACGCCAACTGTGTACTCCCAGAAAAATGTTACCTTTGCACAAAGCAAAAAAATCATTCTCTATTTTGGATACCACTGATGAGGGTTTTGATTGGAGGAGAAGAGTTTGCCTTCTTCCTTGTGTAAACACTATTGTAACAACAGTGCTGTTTAACTTCTTCCATCAGGATAGCTTAGATCGTATGTCAAACTCAAGGCCCGGGGGCCAAATGCGGCTCGCCAAGCCATTTACACCTAAGAAATTAAACGTTTTTATAATCGATCAAATCATTAAAAAGTACTTTTAAAGTAGATTTCACCAAATAACGTCGACTGGTACTGGTCCACGGACCCCTGATCTATACAATTTTACATTTACAACCGGCCCTTCAAGGGGAACTGTATTGGTCATGTGGCCCCCGTTGAAAATGAGTTTGACACCCCTGGGTTTAGACGGTATCCTTTCTGACATCAGAAGGTTCCAAGCAACTAGCAAGATTCACAGTATAAGGAATCTTACGTGTCAATATGCAGGTGACTGCTCTTGTATCTCACACGCACACAAAATCTTCAGTCTATACTAAATACAGCACTGAGTGCTCACAGCAGGATCGGGCTAACCTTTAACACCATCGCAATTTACAGAATGAAAGCCAGACTTTCTGTTATATGTTCTATTCCCTCTGATGAACTTCAACTGCGTCCAGGCCTAAAGTGAAACACAAAGCTGATATTGCTTATGCAAATCTCCGAATCTCTTCGTCTTGGCAACGCATCTGCAAAAGACCATAAAATGTAGTTTACATATCTGCTTTCATGGCTAAGCCCATTCCACCTCTAATAAAGTGACTCACACGTGCGAGATCAGTGAGGCGCTCAATAAACCTTGCTATCTCTGTTGTGGAACTCACAGACGCTCGCGAAAACACAACCAAGTTTTTTTGTGTTCTGGTGTGTAGGTTGTTGCTTGATACAATTCCAAGTGAAAGTGGGTGATCAGTTTCCTGTTTTCTGATATAAAAGATACCACTGAGGTACCTGATGTAAACAAAGACCGTGCACAGACAAATCCATACAAATGCGTCACTGTTTCCACCCGCATCACTAAAAGCAACAACAAAGAGAGGAGTGTAAAAATACGGTGGGCAGTAATATATATATATTTTTTTAGATTCAGGCAGGAGAATATGGGTGGTGTGTGTTCTCTCCTGCAGCTGCTCCTTGCTATGTATGTAATACACTTGCCTTGTGTCCCAAATGTCAAGATATGCCTTAACTCTCTTGACTTTTGGAAATGTGAAAATACTTGAGAATTCAGTTTCGGGTTCAATTAAAAAAAAAAAAAACAAGCTCAGAAGGCATGAGTTTCCCAGACTGTAAATTATCTTTGCAATACACAATAAATTTCACTCCCCATAAATGTATGTAGAAAATCTGGTGTATATCGCAGACAGTACTCGTTGATTTATTAATATATCCATTGGTAAAGATAAATGTGTTATTTTTTGGCTCTGGAGTTTGAGGTTCTCTCCCAGGGTTTGATAAAATAGCACAAAGCTGCACACAAAAGACGAGACTCGATGTTCTAGTTTGGCCCAGGGACTCTCAGCAGAAGTCACTATAGACCACTGGTTCTCAATTATTTTCTGTCATGCCCCCCCCATTGGGGACACAAATGTTTTCACACCCCCGCAAATTGAAATACTATTGAGAACCTGATAACATGTATATTTTTATCTGCACTGCACGAGTTTGCTGCCACCTAGTGACTGGAGGCTTGTTATCATTCAAGCATGACAGCAGTGGTACACTAATGTCCAGCGTGCCATATTCTATAAATTCTATATATGAAGCAATGTTAAATAATTGGTAGGACCCAATAAGTACAACAAAAGATATCAAAGGGAACAAAAAAAAACTTACCAGAGAATGTTAAGTACCGTACAGGTCATCAAACCACATAGAATTGCTCTCCGAAACCATATGATCTGTACAAATAAAAAAGAACATCAGAAAGACTGATAAGGGTTTCATTCATAAACATAAGATGCTTCCAAATCTGATAAAATCACATTTCCTTCGTGAGCTAAAAGTTAAAGTTGATTTATTGACATTAATGCACAGCACACAGCAAAGTATGTCCTCTGCTTTTGACCCATTCTCATAGTGATCAGAGGACAGCTACACCTGAGCGCCTCGGGAGCAAAGTGCCGGACACAGTGCTCTGTTCACTGCACCTGGTTACTAGTGGATTTGAACCTGCAACTATCCAGACACAAGCCTGCCTCCTTAGCTACCACTTGCCGGACACAGTGCTCTGTTCACTGCACCTGGTTACTAGTGGATTTGAACCTGCAACTATCCAGACACAAGCCTGTCTCCTTAGCTACCACTGCCCTTTATAGCACAAATACAGCAGTGCTTTACTGGATATGGGCAAACTACGGCCCGGGGGCCAGATGTGGTCTGTTTGGCTTTTTACTCCGGTCCGCCAAACCGGTCCAAATTATGTTATTAATTTCTATTATCATTATACTTCTGTCTTTTCCCTGTATTTCTCCAATAGATGGCGTATGAACAGCTTAAAGCATTTTTAGCATTTTAGCCTTAATGTCTTTTACATGCTACTTATTCATATGAATGCTCCATTGATTTGCTCCTGACCCGACCCCCCCCGTCCAATTTTACGACCCACTGTGACCCGCAAGTTTGCCCACCCCTGTTGTGGACTGATAAAAGCTTGGATTTTAAAACTAATATTTTAAGGTGCAGCTCATAAAAAGTGTGGCTTCATTTCAATGAGATACGGCACAGTGATTTATCAAGTCTTTTTATGCACAGCGTTCGGACACAGACCCATGGTTGATGTTGGTGGGACGTAAGCCTGCCGCACGTTTATCCGTCTGTGATAAACCAAATAATTTCTGCGGAGACACTACGGAGACAACGATCGTCCAAAATATGATTCGCTTCAGGGTGACGATGAATTTGAAGGATTTTTTTGCCGCATTATCAGGAGCGTGGTGCAGGTAGGTGGTTGTTTGTTTGAAGCAGAATGTGGCGTGTTCTGACGGTGACACTGAGGAATTGCAGCAGCGCAAACACAGGCCTGCAGACAGCCCACAGTGTGTGAGCAGCATATATACACACACACACAGGTGATTATTTATCTTGAAGGGACTGACTTTATCACAACACATCGGCCTCCGTACACATTTCTGTGAAAATAACAAAGTGCAAACAGCCTCATGAATAACAGTGACTTACACATCACTCAGCTCCCAATCACACGACAGGGACATCAGTGTGCTTCTGCTGCCCGACGAGCGTAGCACCACGCTCGAACTGTGTTTATTTATTACTTAGTGTATTAAATATTAAAACTGGGGTCTTATGTGGATTACTTCATAAAACCTTTTAGCAAAACAGCATTCAAATATTTAATACTTAGTATTTGTATTATTAGACAACAATAATGGTTTGTGGTTGTGTTATTAGACAAATACACGTTCCATTAAAGGAAGTGTTTTCCAGCATTGGTGACAATGGCATATGTAAAATATGGTCCTAAAGATAATCTGATAACAACAAAAAAGGTAGTAAGTCCATGAATTAAAGAATTACTGGTGAATTAATCAGTCAAAAATATTCTAGAACATGTGTTTTCAATTCCATTTCCACTTCACTAGCACCATTTCTCAGTAGTAAAATTAAAATGCACACAGGGCCAGGAACCGGCTGTTCAGCTGCGGCTACGCTAAGTAGAACTCGAGACGAGATATTGATGTTTTCCCACAAAAGATAATAACTCAAACTTAATCAATTTAAGTGTCATTTCTAAGCTTTGACGGAGAATTTGGAACAACTAATAGCACCGAGGTGCTCAGTGCCACTTCGGTGCTTCAGTCTATTCAGCTTGTTGCTGTGGATCAGTAGGTCGTACAGTTGTCGTACAACCAGAGGGTTAATTAACGTACACCTTTCTCAGCTGGCAGTAGGTAGAGGTCAAAACCTGTGGTCTGAAGCACTTGGATTTTTTTTTTTTCACCAACACTACGTCAAGACTATATAACTTCAGACAACTTGCTATACTTTTCATCCATCCAAGCTCTATTTGTGGACAACTAGCCATGCTAGCCAGATAAACGGTAAAAAAGTAATCGGAGTCTCTCGAGGTTCAAATCCTAGTGAAGTGTAACACCCTGTGTGGATGTGCTGAAAAAGATTTACCTGCGTTCTGTTGTGTTCAATCTGTGAGAATAACAAAGGCATCACGTTCACAATCCCTCCTGTTGAGAGATGAGCAGAACTCCGGGTTAACATGACAGGTTTGACAAAAGAGACATGACTTCATTCCATCTGCCTGAAGGAGACTAAATGTTTTCTGTTTCCATGATACAATGAGTGTTTTTGCAATTTTCTTTTCATGAATAGAAATTTCCAGATTTCAAATAAAAACAACGTCAACAACAACAAATGTCATTTCAATATTTGTGCTTAGCTTTTTCTAAATTTCAGAATAGTGGGTAACATTACAGTTGGAACATATAAACCACCCGGCCATATTATTTGTAATAAACCCTTCATATTATCAAACTAAAAAAAAAGACAATCAAAGAAGATGTCAAATAGAAAAAAACATGATGGATGGATTCTTACCCAGTGCAACTGTGCCCATTAGGAAAGGTTTCCCAATATGACGGAAGTCACTACTGCTCTCAAGTCCAACCTCTGATCCCACCGCTAATGTCACAGCCACCTGAGACACACAAGGACTAGGACTGTGACGGGTGGAATGACATTCACTCAGTCAAGGTCAAGCGCGGGATGAAAGTAACCGAAGATCCTGGGAGGGATACTGGTAAAATAACACATTTTCAAAATAACAAAATAACAATATGAGATATTAATATCGTTGCTTTTCGTAGCTCTTACAGTGTGTTTAAATGTAATCAAGGTGCTTGGAATTTTACAGTGTTAACCATCGCTTTGAGCGTTACACCATCATCCAGACGGGGACGCTAAAGTAAGAGTTTGTGCCATTAGCAGCCGGGTTCTAAATAAGGAGAGAAAATGTCTGTTTTATTTAATGCACACACATATTGACGAACACACACTTGGCTGCTCTGTCCCCATGCAACGCTGTCATTCCCCAAATATCGTATTAGCCCACAACGAAACAGGTTCAATGACAACTTCATTAGAGGTAAAGGCCAGGAGACTTCACCAATTATAAACCCTGAATAAATGTCACGCCAATTATTTCCACAAAGCTGTGAAATTGAGGCTGAATAGGTGTGAATAATCCACCATACAATTCCACAGCCCGGTGCATGAAGTACATTTAAAAGTTCAGTTCCATGTTTGGTGTGTGTGAGTGTTAAGTATTAATCTATATGAGCTTCTAACCTGCTCTAAGTTTCAACCCTTCTTGTCACAAACGGAAGAGAAACCCAGTAGGAGAAACATATGTCATTTTAGTTTAGAGACGCAATTTCCTCGCACATACCAGTGATGCACATGAATAAACATCAATATTTTCCACTGATCTGTGTTAAAGATTTTATAAAATGCAACATAACTGTAGAAAAAATACCTATAGATATGCAGTTGTAGAAAATATTGACCCCCCCACTGGGAAAGTTGTTGTGTTCATAGTGAATCTACTACAAAAGTCTGGACCTTGGGGGCGCCAAGTTCCTTTGAGGCTACACAATGGAAAAGCTTTAACTATCAACACTTCCTGAAAAGCGTCATTAATGAGCTTCAACTGCTGTGAAAGGAGGACAAAAGTCTACAGAAATGATTTAAATTGAACAAAACATTGAGGAAGGAAACCTTGAAAATTGCAACTGAAGGCATTCGAAATGCTTAAATATATTGTGGAATATTGTGTGAAATACAGGGGTATCCATTTAATGCTTTTACACTTCTGAATTAAACACCCACTCTGCTCCACTGAGGTCAACAGTAAGGGCAGATGTTAAAATATTGTCATGTTTTTCAGTGACAAAAAAAAATCTTAATGGGATGCAGCTCAAGGTTATTCCTTATTCAGGGTTGTTTTTTCTAAGCCACAGAACTAGTACGACTCAAACCCTGTCATGTCTCACCATATTTTTTCCCATTTTCGTTTCATTTATACAAATTTCCAGATTTAAAATAAAAACAAAGTCAACAACAACAAATGTCATTATCACGAAATCACATAATCAAAATATTGAAAATTTAAAAAAAAAAAAATACCGTAAAATACCCAGCCACCAGGCGCTCGCCTGCGAGCCCCAACCCTGGGCCTCGCTCCAGGGCGGGGTCCCGGTGACGTCAATCCAGGCGACGTGAATCTCTTTGATTTTATTGTTTTCTTCATCGGGGGGGGGGGGGTTTGAACCGCCATCTGTCCGTCGCCTACGACCTGTACATAGCTCCTAAGTTCTTTCGGATACTCGAACCCCTCCACCACGTTAAGGTTGCGGGTCAAGGAAGGGTATAACGAACAATCAAAAACAAATTCTAAAAAAAAAAAAAAAAAAAAAAAAAAAAAGAAGCTAAAACCTAAAAGGTTAGGAACCACTTAGTGAAGTGTTCCTGGAGAGAAGAACTCTGAGAAAGTGAGTAGAAACTCAGATAAATTATTGCGGGATACTTTTTGTAGCTAAATGAGCATATCTAAAATAATTAACTATTGGTTGCTAATTAATTAAAAAAAACCTTAGTAAATGAAAAGATAGATAGTTTCAATACCAGATGTTGGTAAAGAGATAGAAACATTGGTATTTCAGCCACAAAGAGAAAAAATACATTAGCTGGGCGATAGACGACTGTTGCTTGAGTTCTATTTTGGTGCAGTAAGACTTGCTCGACCACAGTTCCCTCTCTCTCTCTCTCACCCTGTCTCTATCTCTCTTGCTCATTTTGATGCAGAGAAGTATACTGTAGTTAAGATGACTCTCGGTGACTTCTTCTTCACAGATAAGGCTTTAAATCTTCCCACTTTACCCCTGTTGGGACCTAACTCTAGAACCAATAACTTAAGCTTGAATGCGTTTGTGTATGTGCATGAATGACAGAGGATCCTGCAAATAATAAAACTGTACTGTTCGGAGGCAAAAAGATTACTTTCTCTTTGGCTGCTTTTGCGGCGATAAAACAAAACAAAACAAAAAAAGAATACTAATAAACATACTTCTGCGCAGCAGGATTTAGGTTTGAGTTTGAGTGTTGTGATATTGTTTGCGCTATAAATATAAAATCTATAATAAATTGTCCAATTTCTCTGTGGTTCGCCAAGGACAGAAAATCTTTCTGGAGATCACAAAGGTTTCGCTCTCCAGCTTGAGCTGTGCAAGGATAGAGGCATTGATCTGATGTCGGCAAGCAGACTCCCCCAAGACCTGACATCTGTTCATTCAATGCCAAGGTGGCACTTAAGGACATAAACTGGTTATTGACTTCCAACGATAAATGTTGGACATTAATAAAAACGTTTGGTGTCAAGTAATAAAATGAAGGTCATTCTGAGGTTTCCTGAAAGTGACGCACCTTAAATAGAACTGTTTATTTCCCAGCTATTACAAACTGCGCAACCTTGCTAGCTAAAAAAAAAAAAAGCTTGTCGGATATGTTCTTAGAATTATAGTTTTCAATAAGCAGAACTCTGGATTCCACACCGATGGTGCTAACCTTTGGGTTGTACATGATAACGGTCCTGTGGGAAGAAGGGTAGTATGGGTTGAGCCACAAAGTTTGAGGGGCAGGATTATTATGATCAATCCAAAATGGCTTGTTTTAACCCTGCCTGTTGTATTAAACAGGTATGAAAAAATCTGTATTCAACATTTTTACTATTTTAATCACTAATTCACCTTTCAATAATAATATCCTTAGTTGCCAAATAATTAAAAACTATATAAAAAAATGGAATGGACCCTGATGTAATTCACCTGTGTCTGAACCTTTTGGAAAGCAGCTGCTTATTTAATCTACTTTCGTTTTGCGTTACATTAACCATTAAGTGATTATACCGCTAATGGATTAAGGTGAAGCTTAATTTAAAAAAAAAACAACATTACACCAAATGGGATTCCTTGACTTCACAGATTTACGAAAAATTTAAAATATTGATTAAATGTTGTTGCTACTGTTTAAAAATGACCAGACAGAATCAGGTCAATGCCGAAGCTAGGCAAAAGTGAACAATTAGCTGGAAAAATGTTAAATTAACCTCAAGGAATCACAACAATTAAACTCACTGAGTAAAAAAAAAGTTTCAGTTGCTTCTTTCTAAATTCTTTAAATTTCATGACAGCTCGAATGTTTCTTCTCATAGAAGAAAATCAACTCTACCAGAGTCTTCAGTAACTGGTGACAGCAAAACACAGTGAACATAACACAAACAATGGATTGCTAGATCCGATACTCAACTCAGGAAGGGTACTGTCCCATATTGGTCAAAATTTCAGGAGAACTACACCCTGTCTGATCCAATACCTTAGAAGGTTGATATCAGTGTTGACACATTCTCTAAGTTGCAGTATCATATTGGACATGAAAATACACACGAATCACATGTTTTTATATGTCAAAAAAGGAAAAGAAACCATTTTTAGACCACACAGAATTATTGTTCAATTACCATGTTGTGCTACCCGGTCAACGTTATGTTGCTGGTGTGACTCTCCATCCTTCTCATCCCATTAGACTTACGTAAGCCCGTCCCCCTCCCCTTTGACGTTACCGCTGCGTTATCGTACGTAAGTAACATATAGATTCTGATGTATTATTAATCTGTCTCCTACTTTCTTTTTCTTTTGAGTTTGTTCGCATCATCGTCATCATTTTTTTGTCAGATCAAAATTGGAGCGGACAATGAACAACCAGCAAACCCTACTGACTCTAAATGAGAATCGGTGACAGCAATAACCACTGTTCCACCGCGTGGCGGGCGTGCGTGCAACTAAAATAAGGTTTCGTTTACCGTGACAATGAGCAGGATTCCCTTCAGTAGAGTGAGCAAGGAAGTAACAGGCTGAATGAATTTATGGCCCAGCAGGATTGCCAGGGTTAGAATCCAGGTGAAGGCGGGGATTATGTAGATGTGTCTGAAAAACAAAACAACACAAAACAAAAAAAAAAGATGTTCAAAGTATTAGTTGAATTCAATGTCCTTTACTGTAACTTTGTTGACAACAAAAACAATTAATTTGGACTTTTAGTTTAATTGCAACAGTCTATATACAGTACATACATAAACATATATCTTAAATTCTCACAAATATGTAATACTCAAATAAAATTAATACAAGTATTAATTTAGGTATGTATGCATGGTATATTCTTTTGCACCTCACCTATATGGAAGATTAAATATAAATACATACATATATAAAAGGGCCGAGCAATGTGTTTTTTTCATGTTAAATCATTCATCAACAAACACTGACAATTATCGTATTGCATTTAAAAACTTACTATAAATATATGTATGTGTATATATGTACTGTATATACCTGTAATATGTTTGTAATATGTATGTAAACATTGATTATTACATAATACCTGCTAACAAAATGCTTCTTTTCAGGTTAAATATTTTATATCATTAATTTAAAAACTACATTTGAAAGAAAGCAAAAAAACCCCCAAAAAATTAGAAGAGAAAGTCATTTGTTTTCAAAGAGTTCTAAGGCAAAGACATTATTTAAATTGGATTGGAATTGTGCGGTAGCTGCACTGCACGAACGACAGTTAGTTCCAATCAAACACTTGGTATTTAATGGTTGAATTAAGCTTAACATTCGTCTTAGTATTTAAGATTCAATATTCATATTCGTAGTTAACGGCTAAGATTCAGTCAACGCGATGATCGAATCTCTCGATTTAGACTAATGCTTTAGACCTTTTTGTACTCAGTGATGCACTCACTCCTCTGCACTGGAGAGTCTTAAGATAAGGGCTGTTTCATGTGCAGAACTACAGTTACTTATTGATTGCTGTCACTAGAGACAAGGAAGAGGAGGGGGGGATGTAAGAGTGTAAAGGAGGTCAGTCTGAGGTTTTTTCACTTTAGTAACTCCTGCCTTTACCACTCCCACAACACACTGATGCATCTCCCAAGATAGAGTGCATATGCTATTATTTGAAGACAGCATTTACCACTCATGACAAAGTAAATGTCCGCTGTCTGAAACGGCTGGCCTAAATATTGTTACGTGTGCGTAGGCGTGTGTGTCCACTCTGTGAAACTTCCTTGTTATACCCTGATACATCTTGTGCATACATAATATTGCAATATAATGTCAGGATTATCAATATACAACACAAAAGGCTTACTTGCCCTGAGGAGGCGAAAAGGAAGAATTTTTTATGTGCCAGTTGCCACCCATATTTGAACTTACATGACTGAATCAGCTCAAGTTCTAAAAACCGTAATGCTTCAAAAACATTTTTGCCAGTATGTTGATGAATATTAGTTAAAACGTTGTTTTCATATTGCACTGCAAACATGAGGTCCGCGGGTCAATGAAACATCTCACCCACACACATTGTGTATCTGCCCTGTTTCTCAGAAAACATTTTTTTTAAAAAAAGCATTTATTGTGACAATAAATTGTGTTTATTTGACTTCCTCTGTATCTATTATCTATACTTTGGAAGCCAGTGCATTTAATACCTGTCTTTAAAATATAATAGGAGATAAGAGTATGAGACTATGAGAGCGGATAATTCAAGTGATCTCTAAGATGCTGCAGTCGCTGAAATACAAGTAATGCAAACATTTTTTTTTCTTGTCTTGCTGTTATTACAGATGTCATCACTCAATCATCTACAACTCACCCTCATCCGAGTTGTTCGTCGAATTGTATGTGACCATGTATTTTGTGTTGGATGAATTTTAGTATCAGTCGATGTTGGGGAATACAGATGCCATTCACCGACTTTGAATTAAAAACATATCAGCATCACACTATATTGTTGTGTCTCCCAGCTACTGTGGGCCATTGTTAGCATAAAAAAAACAAAACAAAAAAGCTATTCGTTATATTCACCGCAGATGACTAGCAACCCCTCTCTCTCTCTCTCTCTCTCGCTCCAGTTCCACATGGGAACCACATGACTGACAGGCTTAATATCAACACATCCACTGGCAAAAAAAAAAACAACTGGGAAATCATAGCTCTGCAAGAACAATAGTCGTATGTGTGGCAATACTTTATATTCTCTGAGAAAGATCTATGTTATGCATATTTACAATACATAATAATGTAATGTTCCATTGATATTTCAAGAGGGGGAAGAAAGGGGAAGAAAGCCATTTAACACAACAAATCTCACTGGACATTTGAAAAGTAAATGTATATTAAAGGTTGTTTTCGGGTCATGAATTCGTCTAACTGAATATGGTCATTCAAGGATAATATGATGAACAGTGAAGGAATTCAAAAATAGTTCAGCAATGTTTCTGTGTAACAGGGGATAAATAACAGAAAGAAAAAAAATATTTCACAATGGGTGCATCCCTAATTTGTACATTTTTTATGTCGTTAACTCGTCTTCAAAATCACTCATTCTGCATGAAATCACATCACAAAATTATTACTCCTTCTACATTCATTCCCTTTTTTATCTTTAATTAAAGAACTATACCATAGAGACCTTAAATAATTTATCCACATATTCGTCTGTCTAGATAGGACTACTGCAGTTCCATGTATTTACCCATTACCATTTTCCTCTTATTTTTTTTTTTTTACTGAGTTTATGGTCTTATTCCCAGATCGATATAAAAAGTAGAGTGAGCATGAATAGGCACTGGGTGTGATTGGCAGCTAAATTATTTAACATGAGCATATGGACGCGCCACACCTGTGAATCTGCTTTGAAAACAAATCAAACCTTTAACTGTTATACAAAATGTTCTTATGTGTCCAATGTCAAAGGTAAGTTATCCTTTTCCATTTATTGACCGTTTCAGTGCATGGGACTTACTTACCTAACATTGAGGAGAGCAGCAAAGGCCTCACTGCCAGCGAGGACATAACTGGTCCCAATAGAAATACTGATGAAAGAGAAATAAAATTAAAAGGGTTAAAGGGCATCAGAAGATTACCAAACACTGATAATTCAACAATTCCTGTTAATTCACTTGTAGAAAGTCACATTTTAATACGCTCCTACTAACTCATTTGCTTCAACACTAAGGCTGAAGGAAAAAGAAATGCTAGTAAGTCACAATGGAAAAGAACACATTTGAATGGACAATGGATATATTTACTGTTTGAACAATAGTTTCTATTTCCTCCTATCTAAATAACAGCGTATTTAATTTCGTTTGATTGTAAACTAGTTTAAGGCAGTACACCTCTTTTCCAGATTTGTTAAAAAGGCCATCCAAAAATACTAACAAATCAAGCATAAATCATGAGGACAAAGATTGTTTACTATGGCTGGGTCAATCTAAATTGGCTACTGCCGACAAGAAACAAACCAGGAGCAGCTTTGAACACTGTTTTTGAACTTGGACAGTCTGGTTGCAGACATGGTTTTTTTGTTTTGTTTTCTACTGTAGTTGGTAAATTTGTCCAATAATCTGTAAATTACACATGACTCTAATGGTACAGAGGCATGTATTTTGCACATGTTCAAACATTACATTATGTTGTTTTCATACATTTCGCTTCAATACCATAAACAGCCGAGAAATAGTCAATAAACTGTTTGTGTGTGTTCGTGTTCTACAGTTTTTTGCATTGACCAAACACTAAAACTCCTTGAGCACAATGAGAGAGCTATCGATCGGTCAGGTGTAAAAGACTGCTTATACACTGATAACAAGACATTCCGCCAAGGCTGCTTAGTTTTGCCCCAGTTAGCACATAATTGGACAACACGCATAAAACATGTACAGCACAACACAGGAGACAAGTAAGCATTATTAATATTAAGAGTAAGATGTATTTTAAATGTACTCTGTCGAATTTAAATATAGGTTTCATTTTTAGGAATCAGTGTCTAAAACCTTCGTAGGAGTTTGTTTTCTGCGTTAACATTACAAGATGGAAGAAATCCATGACCTGCAAGGTAGAAAAGGCTCAGGCCAAACCAGTTGTCTCCAGTCGTCTGTCTTCTTCAGCCTAACCTCCAAACCAGTTGTCTCCGGTCGTCTGTCTTCTTCAGCCTAACCTCCTTCAGCCGAGTGTTGGATGATCATCCAGCCTACATGTCTTGCAGCAACAATGCATAGGCAGGGGGTGGAAGTATTTGGTGAAATGGGAAGGATACGATCCAGAGGAACACTCCTGGTTACCTCTCCGATCTTACATCTCAAACTTCCACAAGGAAGGCACCCGTTGGAGGAATGGGGGAACTGTGAGGTCCGGGATTGACAGTCTGGTTGCCTGGGTTTTTTAACTCTCGCTTTTGTAACTCTGGTCATTTTTGCCTGCCTCTCTGCAGTTCCTGGTTCTTGTTTTTCGGGAGTGCTGGACCTTTTTTTGCTCCTGGGTCAGCAGCTCTGCCATCGCCACCCTCTGATTTCGCCGCCGCTTGACAGCAGTGGGAATCCTGCTTGCGCCCCTGCTTCAGCTCCCCTGCCTCCGTCGCCTCAGTCCCTGGTGTTTGTTTCAACCTACATCTGCACATTCTCAATCCGTAATAAATGCATGTACTTTCCTCCTCCTGTTTTTGTGTCGACTCATGGTCCTCCTTTCGACTGAACCGTAACACAATACCTCCTTGGACTGGGTTTTAATAAATATGCCAAAAATTGTACGGCAATGTTACATAGGTGGTACATCTCTGAGGGAAATGAGGGTAATACACCAAGCAGGAAAGTGATAACATCCAGTTTCATTCTGAAGCTCTTTTTCCAAAAATGGCGTCTGTCTATATAGTTTGTTAGTTTGTTTTCAGCTTCCTGATACTACACAAATACTTGGTAAAATGTCCACAAATTGTTTAAATTTTGTTTCTGTATGGTGATGCTAGATTGGCAATGGTTCCATAATGCACACCTTGTATTTTATTTCATGTCAAAAGGCAATGTATTAGATTTGCCTACGCTTTGCCTATGTTTTAGCACATCAAATAATGTGAATTGCTTTGGCCTAGTATTAGTATTGGGGAAGAGGATGCATTGTTTTTGCAGTGTTAATAAACCTGACTAACACTGAAGAGTCTCTTGTGCTGCAATTGGGTCCATCTTGCTTTCCTACCATGACCTACTGTAACACATACATCACTAAAACACACCATCCCTCATTCATTCAAATCATTGCCATGTTACTTACAACTGAAAGAGCAGGATACAGTTGAATGCATGACTCATGGGTCTTGAGAGGAAGAGCTGGCCAAGTAGATGAAGGTTGGGCTGAAGGTCTTCTTCCTGGTTCTGCAGATCAACGGACTCTGGCTGCAGCAACCCTGTATCTGACAAAATCAGATTGATGGATACTGTCGTCAGGTGTGACAGTAAACCAAAGTTGATGAAACTGGACCACTGACCATGATCATTTTTTTTATTTTTATTTTTTTATTTTGGGAATAAAGAATGCAATTACAAAAATTAAGTCGTATGTTACTGACATGTTTTTACATTTAATTTACAAGAATGAAGCCATATGTTACTGACATGTTTTTACATTTAAATTATAATTTGATTCCCACTAATTTAGAACTTTAACCTCACAGACATCTTATACATTTTCTCCATCTTTCCACTGCTATATTTTTCTTAGGAGAATAGATTATAATTCTGATTTTAAAACTGTTCCTTGAGACCAATATGTTAATTTGTGAATTTGGGCTGTATAAATAATCAATAAACTGACCTGATTTGGCATATCTGACCTATCTTAGAAGCTCAGACACTACACAAATACAAGCGTACTCTTTTGATTATTTCGATAACTTTGATAACTTAAAACATCTGTGATCATTTCTCTGAAGACAGCCTTTAGGATAAAGATATGAGTTTGAAAATTAAATATTTAAAAAAGCACTTTAGCTCGATAGAATTTGTCAACATGGTAGTTTTGATCTTTCTGATCATTCCTGTGTACCCTGACAGTAAAACTTTAAAAGAGTAATTCAACCAAAAATTGCCACTAAACTGTATGTTACTTAAAAAAACACTGAAGTTGTTTATAGTGAATTAAAGAGGAAGGTAAAGAAGTGCCTAGTGGTGGGGCTAGAAACACTATATTGTACTACATTAGTACATTTTAAAAGGTTCTAAATGTAGATGTTATTATAAGATGGTTTGCAGAAATCAGAAGAGAATTTGAACTTAACAGAATGCAATCTTTCTTTCTAAAACAACAACTAGTAATTACAATAATGTTCACATTTTATTTGAAATAATTGTCTAAACCAAATACTCTCAGTATTATTTAGTCAGTTGTTCCTGCCTGTATTGAATTTGCCTTTTTCTCACAATTTAGTCAGTTGTTCCAGAATGTCTGCAAAGGCCTGTATTGAATTTGCCTTTTTCTCACTAATTAAACCGAGGAAAAAGGCAAAGAATCAACTCCTTCATGTTTTGCAGAGGTGATGTGATAAAAAAAATTGTGTCCTTATAAACTTAACTTGCACAATTTAATCTAATTAATTACTCCTAAATCCTATTGTCTAGACCTTGCCGACAAGCTTTTTCAGTCCCGAACACTAACCCTCAGTTAATAATGACTCTATTGTCGTGGCTGATTTAATTGGAACATTTATGAACTGCTGTGTTTTTTAAATAATGAGCATTTATTTAAGCCGGACACACAAGGAAAAAAATCATTATAAGCTTATGTAGACTGTATTAAGCTCTGTGGGGAACTTTAGTGGGGAGTAATGATGACAGCTAAAGCTCAAAAATGGTATGTATATTTTGGATTCAGCCAGTCAAATTAATGCAGATTCCATAGAGTGCCATTGAAACTGAACATGTGATCTGAACAGGTCACCAGTAACCAAGACGGTTCAGTGACCTTTTCTACCGAATACAAACGAGTATCATGACAGATCACCAATTGCTGTGTGAATTCACCTGTGGGCTTGACCAACAGTAAGATTACAGAAGAATCAAAATGACCTGATCCCCTACCTGATTCTGCATTGTCGCTCTCATCTTCGTCTTCATCCTCCGTGAGAGTAGCATGTTGCACATTGACCTGATCTAGCACTATACACTCAGAGGCAGCCTTCTACAAAAAAAAAATTAAAAAGGGTCAGACAAATGCTTTTCACCTATCCCATGTTTGACCTCTGTCAGTCTGCTAAACACCTGGTCAAAATCAGTTACGTGTTTTTTTATTTTCTTTTCTTTTATGTATAGTTTCATTTTCCCTATTATTACGTGTTTTTTTTTATTTTTATGTATAGTTTCATTTTCCCTATTCTACTTCTACCACATTTCCCACAGAAATATTTTTATATGAATAAGGAAAGTGAACTACATGTCATTGTGACACCGCTTCCTTAACCACTAAGCCACCACTGCCCCATCACAACTTCTAATATTTACCGATTTTGAAATGACAAGAACAACACACTATATAAAATATAGTGAGGCAGATCAGGACACATTTCTCCATCTCGTGGGATACGAATAACATCTGAACATTCACCAACAAATCTCAACTTCAGACACATGCCGATCCTTCTTATAGGCAAAGACAAAACACGGTGTTACGTAATTTTAGCGTGTTCTCAGCTTGGGTAATCACAATCTAATATTTACCGATTTTGAAATGACAAGAACAACACACTATATAAAATATAGTGAGGCAGATCAGGACACATTTCTCCATCTCGTGGGATACGAATAACATCTGAACATTCACCAACAAATCTCAACTTCAGACACATGCCGATCCTTCTTATAGGCAAAGACAAAACACGGTGTTACGTAATTTTAGCGTGTTCTCAGCTTGGGTAATCACAACGATACATATTATTCGCTTTACTGTCACCAAACAATGAACAGACCTTTACAGTTTAATGTGATACATGGTCCCAATAATTTAATTGGGTTTTCAGTCTATAATTTGTATGGCCACAAGGATTTAGCTCACCCTATACTAAAAAAAATAGTGCAAACAAAGTTTGTGAAAAACTCGTTTTACAGTTCGTACTGTGGCAGTATTTGTAAAAGAAGTTACCTTCAAAGACTCCAGTTGTACCACCTGACACTTTTGAAGAAGTTCAACAAACAGGTAAATAAGCAGCGCCTGTGCAACAGAGGAAGACATATAGGCATTGATATACAGTATGCAACTCTTCTTCTTTTTCTTTCGGCTTTGTCCCTTTTTTTTCAGGGGTTGCCACAGCAGATCATTGATTTCCATCTCTCCCTGTCCTCTGTATCTTCTACTCTGACTCCAACTATCTGCATGTCCTCCCTCACTGCATCCATATATCTCCTCTTTGGCCTTCCTCTCTTTCTCCTACCTGGTATCTCCATCTCTAACATTCTTCTACCAATGTATCCACTGTCCCTCCTCTGCACATGTCCAAACCATCTCAATCTGGCTTCTCTAGCTTTTTCTCCAAACCTTCCTGTCTGTGTTGTCCCTCTAATGACCTCATTCCTGACCCTGTCCATTCTTGTCACTCCTAAAGAGAATCTTAGCATCTTTAACTCTGCCACCTCCAGCTCCTCCTCCTGTCTTCTGCCTATTGCTACTGTCTCTAAACCATACATCATGGCTGGTCTCACCACTGTCCTGTAAACCTTTCCCTTCACCTTAGCTGACACTCTTCTGTCACAGATCACTCCTGACACTTTTCTCCAGCTGTTCCATCCTGCCTGTACTCTATTCTTCACCTCTCTTCCACAGTCTCCGCTGCTCTGAACAGTTGATCCTAAGTACCTAAACTCCTGCACCTTCACCACCTCTGCTCCTTGTAGCCTCACTATTTCACTGTTCTGCCTTTCGTTTACACACATGTACTCTGTCTTGCTGCGACTGACCTTCATTCCTCTTCTTTCTAGTGCAAACCTCCACCTCTCTAGGTTCTCTTCTAGCTGCTGCCTACTCTCACTACATACAGTATGCAACTAATCAGGTTAAATGCAATAAAGATAATAAATTATTATTATTAATAATAATTATTTTTGTTTGTTTTTAAAATTTCGCATGAAAAAAACCCCCCAAAACATCCCACTGTGTGTGTGCTTACTGTTAAGGTTAGGGTTGAAACCACATAAAGTAAATACTTAAAACCTACATAGCAATGACAACAAATGAGTTTCTTTAAGTGACACGATTTCTCACCTGCACACAAAAGCCAATGAGGAAGGAGATAAGAAAAGGCACCAGCCCGGAATGAGCAATTGTTACTGGAAGACCTGAAAATGAACAGAGTGGGGTCAGCATTAGTGAAAACACATGTTGATTTGACGAGAGACGTTTTCTGTTTCCCTGTCACTCATCATTCTCGCTCTCTTTGCCTCTGCTGCAGAGCCTCCTTTTTCGTTCTGCTTCAAACTTACCATAAAATTTAATGGAAGGTGTTGACTTCAATATGAGATCTAAGTGATTTAACAAGTATTAACTTGGAAGGGCTCCACCTTTTGTGAAGCTACATGAAGACCCTGCTGAAAACAAAGTAGTTAAATGTAATGTCCCGTGTAATTTCCACCTCTACAAAAATCTCTCTGGTGTAAACTACACTTCATTAAATTTGCCCCTGCAATGAAAGCCAAGACAATTTTTCAAGAATAAAATGATTCAAACATAACTACCCACACCTTCACACAGAAGGTACTGTATAGACCACTGAGTCTGTGATCTAAAACATAAGATTCTCTTTGTACGTATGAACTGAGATGTGATGCTGAATTATAATGCGATTGGAAAAAATATGCTGTAATTGCTTCGCATGTTTAATGCGGTTGTTAGAAACACAATGCAAAAATATACTAAAATAAATATTATCTTTACTGTTGTAAACAAAGCGAAACTAAAGTATAGTTTATAGTAACATTTTTAATTGTTGCACAACCCTATTTAATATATATGACATAATAATAAAGCAAATACAACTTAAAAGGTAGTAGCAGTTACAATAACAAAAAATATTGTGGAAAAAAAATATCACTGTACCAAAACATATTCGCTTCCTTTTTAGTGCACTGTCACAATATACTGAAAGATCTTATACAGTGGAACCTCAAGACACGAGCGTCTCGACATACGAGTATTTCAAGATATGAGCAAGCATTCGGGTCATGTTTTTGCTTCGGGATACAAGTAAAGATTTGAGATACGAGCACGCTAACAGACACCGACGCTAGGTGGCCGAGCCGCCACATTCATTCACTTCACGTGTTCGTCGACTCCTGTACGCATCTCCCGCCAGTCTTTCGTATTGTGTTTGCATTATTTACGTGATTCTCTCTTATTTTGTGCATTATTCTTCATAATAGTAATGAGTCCTAAAAGAGTGAGTGGTAAGAATGGTAGAGAGAAGAAGAAACGCATGATGACCATGGAAATAAAACAGGAAACTGTCAATAAATATTGAGTGTGGTGACCGATAAAGAAACCATACAAATCAAAAAAAAAAAAAAAAGGTAAGTTAAGTTAATTCTAAATTTATGTAGTGTAAGTGTAAGGTACGGTACGGAATCAAGTGAAAAAAAAAGAAGAAATAGGTAAGTTAAGTTAATTCTAAATGTATGTAGTGTAAGTGTAATGTACGGTACGGAATCAAGTGTCTACATACTCTACGTAAGTTAAGCAAAAACATATCATTTATTTGTGTTTGGAATTACCACTTCAAATTTGCAAATGCATGTACTTACCTAAAATTCCAGTTCCCAGTATTGTTGCAATTGTCAAAAAATCTGAAAAGGAAAAAAAAAAGGCTTAATTAAATCGATTCACCAACTACATTCAAGCTGCACAAACCTTAAAAATCACCAATGAAAGGGACAATAATAATTATTTTTCATCCGATATGCAAACTTGTGCTAAGGAAACCTGATTCAGTTCATGTACTCCACTGCGTTTCCATATTGTAAAATCCCGCGCACACACTCTACAACAGCTGTGGGACAATCCACTTTGAAAAGATGACAGCTAACACCATTAAGGAGCGCCTTTGTCATTTCATGTTGATAGGTCTATTGACAATGTTTGGTCACTTTTCTGTCACATTTAAATCCATCACTTGCACTAAATAGACCTCTTATCATCACTGTCATTTTAAATGAGCCCGATCATTTTTCCTACTCGTATCAATTATCCTTTCTCCTCTTTATTCGACCCTCTACAAATGGCTAGGAGACATATGGCAACGCTAATTACAAATGTCATAATCATCTTTTTCATAATCTGTTTTCCCTCAGCTGCCCTTGGATGTCATGGAATAACTTGATAAATCATGTTGCACAGACAGAAATACAACAGTGAGACTAAGAAAAGTGACCAGTACAAACCCACACATCTGTGATCAATGTTAATAGACACATTCAAAACAGGACAAAAATATATGTACATTTTTTATTTTTATTCCTCATGATCTACCAGTACTCCCTTTAATTTTTTTTTTAAATTATGATTTCTGTAATGTTTTACTTGAATATCAGCATATAGGTTCCCAACCCTATATGTACTATACAGAACTATAGTTTGAATAACATATAAAATATATTTTTGACACTGCTTAACTTTATGAAATGGAAGCCTTCTCTTACAGATAACCATGGTATTTTTTTTCATAGAGTTCCAACAAAAATACTACGTTGCCCTCTGTGTACATGGAGAAATTAAACTTTTTTTCTTTTTTCAGATATCTGTCATTAGATGACAATGTCATAGATAAAAATAATGAGCAAGAACTTAATTTTTCTGCAGAACAATTACTTCAAAAAACATGTCTGGGGCCATAAAGTTAACTTAATTAAACATAACAATTTAAAGTGTTTGACTGTTCTGCACATTGCTACAATATCATCAAATTAGGTATTTAATAGAGAGGAAGTGGGTGGAGATGCAATCAGTAGCTAAAAACAGTGTCGTGACCTTATTTAGGTTTGGAAAAATAATGAATTCCTGCGTTTACAAAGAAAAAAAACGGCTTTAATTTGTGTTATGCTTACTTGATAATTCGTGGTTATGATACTTATTGACGTATTCGACAAGTAACGGACCCCAGAATCTCGCTTTTGGTCATCTATTGGAAATTCCTATTTAGAGTAAACCACATACATAAGTACTACACTGTACACATAACGTGGTATAAAAATTCAAGGATAACCTGATATTTGCAAGTGTACAGCTGTACCTGTTGTATTTTTTTTTGTTTTACTGTACGTGAATATGTCCTGGATTCACTCACTCAGTCCTCCATCTATCTGTATCCCGCACAGCGCGTTTTGTTATTGTCTCTGTCTTCCGGTGCCGGTGTGTGACGTGTCACTGTGGTGGTGTGTCGGTACTCACAGCACTGCAGGTAAATGAAACGTGACTTCCATTTCATGTTATGTTTCCGCCTCACTGTGAAGAACACTAAGCTCGGGCTCGTGTCGACGACGGGACAATGGCACGGTGGCTCTTTAATCTCTTCTGCGGCGGTCGCCATCATTTTCATTTCTTCCATCCTCCCTCTACCCCTTTTTCCTCTCCCTCCAACTTCCGTGTTGACGTGGCGAACGCACGTGGTGCTAAGGATGATGCGCGTTCCTGACAGAGTAGTCAAACGTAAAAAGCTCAAAAACGCTCGAATAAAGTAACAACGAAATAAATAATGACACGAATAAGCACAAACATACAGTCACTGAAATTAAAAACTGAAGAAGACCAAACAAAAATGTAAAGAATTACAACAATTACAACTGATATTATATAAATGTAATGGCCCAGCTATTGTTTTTAAAAATTAACGGACAAAAATAACGAATGAAGAAAATTTAGTGCGGAAAAAAATAACGAATGAAGAAAATTTAGTGCGACCTACTTATTTCCCTAATTCTACAATAAAAAAAATTATTTAAACCTAAGAGACCTCAATGCTTATAGCTTATAGAAAAAGCTTTCATTCTGTACTTTACTTTTATATTTTAAAAGTAAAGTACAGAAGCAGACCTTTTTTTTCCCCCACACTGCAACTTTCTTGAAAGAGCGAGGCGCTTTTTTTTTTCCCACTGCAACTTTCTTGAAAGAGCGAGGCATTTCGGTAGATCGAACCTGGTCACTATGCTTGTGTAACGCTGAATGGAATCTTTTAAAATGATTGAAACGTGCTATTATTAGCTATACTGCTTATTTATCTTGTAAGGAGGAAAAACCCGTTGAGACAGTTAACGTTTTATTCCTCCCTCTTTTTTTCCTCCCTTTTTGACAGATTGACAGAGAGGTTGTCTCACCAATAGAAGGTGTTGATCTGGCAAATTATCCTCACATAGAGACATCGTTTCGTGGTTTAGTTAAAAACAAAACCTTTTTAAACAAAACCTTTTTGAGAAATTAAGGGAGAAGCCTGAACAGAATACAAATCAACAGGAAAGTAGAAATGCATCTAAACATCCAACAAAACAACAGTTAGAGCCAAACCATCAACAACAAACATGGAAATAGGATGGATTTACACTAAATGAGAACATGAGGTGAGGTAACAGGGAAGGTTACGTTAAATATCCATTCAGGTTATAATGAAAAAAAAACCCTGTCATTCCCAGGAGTACCTCAAAAATCCTCTTCCTGGTGATGTTTTCATTGTAAAGCTATACAGCATGGTCAAACCCCCTGTTTTGCGCTTCTCCATAGCAGCTTAACACAAGCTAGGGTGAGAAGTCTACTGTTGACCCTGACTGTGTTAGTCATATCTAGTCATATCTAAACACTGATACTATTGCTATGGCGACCAACTTTGTTATTTTTCGAAATTTTCGGAAGTGACAGAAGCAGATAACTCTGACCCTGAGATGATTTTTTGGGGCACAGGAAACAGTAGATAAGGACTCTCTTGGTGACAATTTCTTTTTCAACAGAGTGCCTTTCAGCAAAGTCCTCATCATATCTTCCCCAAAATAGCTAAGTTTTACACCACTCATCTTCAACGAAATGACAGAGTAAATTTCTGACCCTGAAGTTGTGAACAAATCATTGAAAGTCAGACAAGTACTTGCTCATAACTCAGTGGAACTAGGCATAGTCAGCGATACCTGCACAGCAGTTTCTAAGCAGAGTTCTATGAGGATTGCTTCCTTGGAAGGTACCTTTTCTATGCATTCATTCTGTTCTGCAATACAGATAGCTTGAGTATTCTTTTGAAGGGATTTCAACATTATCAGTATTTTCCTAGCCCCGCTTTAATAGAGGAATTACTTTTTGGAGAAGCGCACAATGACCTAAAGACAATTTTCCTTCAATTTGTGAGCTAAATTACATTTCTTCTGTTGATGATGATTATCATCTTTCTTTCTGCCCATCGTTCATTCTAGGGTATCCATGGCTCCGTCTTGACGACCCTCACATTAACTGGGTCACCAGGGCCGTTCTGGAGTAGAGCACCTGCCAACGGTGCCTACACCAAGCCACTGTACCTCTCCGTAAACTCCAGCTCTTTACCTGACCTCTCCGGAGTGCCATCTGAGTGTCACGACTTCCACCAGGTCTTCAGGTAAGCCAAAGCCAGGTATCTACCCACAGAGCGTCCATACGTATGACTGTGCCATTGACCATTAACTGGTACTTCACCTCCCAGGGGGCACCTGTACTCTTTGTCAGAACCTAAGAGAAAGACAATGGGGAAAAAAACATTAATGTCTTTCTCAATGATGTTCAAGACCTCAATCCTTGGGGGGTTAGTGTGGGGGTTAGAACTATTCCAATGACCCCTCACTGATTGGAGCCCAAAAAATATATATAACCCTTGTGTTGTCCTTTGGGTCTAGGTGACCCGGTGGCTGATAATATGCTTTGTGTGTGTCTGCGTGGTCCTGTACTGCACGTCTTGTGGCAACTTTTCACAGTGGAACCTTCAGGACCGAGCTCATAACTCGAGGTGCTCATATCTCTAAATATTTTTTCCCAATAACAGAAAAAATATTTATCCGTTCCGGTCCTCTAAAAAATCTCCCTTATTAGTGCTCTGCCATCTCAAATCTTTACCCGTATCGCTAAACAAAAATTTGCTCGAAGGCTATGGGAGGGTTAGGTTTTTTTCTTCAGCAAACTGAAAACTGTCCGATTGTTTCTTCATCTTCAAACAACTTGAAGGTTTAAATTTTCAGGGTTGCTAAATTCCTGAGCATTGCACCAGTGTCTAAGACCCACGCCCCGTCCCCATCTATCCCGCAACTGAAGCCCGGTTGGCTCTGACCCATACGTCAGTGACTGTTGTTTATGGAGTAGTTCTTCATCAGTTAACACTTTTACAGTTTCAGTTTCAAAACTGTTGCACCTCTTCTATGTCTACATACTAATGCAGCCACTCCAGGAATGGCAAATTAATAATACTCATACATCTGCATGCCTTTTACCTTCACCTACCTCTAGGTTTGAGTGGTTTCCATTGGCCAACTAAGCCTTTACCCACCTGAAAACAACCGTCATTGTTGAACTGGATGCTTCAAACTTGAGCTTTGGTGCCATGCTCTACCAACAGTCAGAGACTGACAATCACAATTGCCACTGTGCAAGAACCTTTTATCCACCCAGTTTAGTCATACTGATGGAGCAAGGTATTATTGGACAATTCTTTTTTTGGCTACTGTTAGAATAGGTCAAAATACTTTACTGTTTAAGTTGTCATTCAAACTGAGGAGTGAAAACGCTGCACATAATGACCGGGAGGCCGAAAACAGGATTCAGGAACTGTGATTTATTTAGTTGTAGTTCACAGTACTGACTGTGGCACAGGCAGAACAGAAGTATCTCAGAGGCAAACGACTTTCATTAAAGGGAAACTGTAGCTGGGCAAATGTCAGGAATACGACAGTTCTGTAAATAGTCCCTAAGACTTTGTTGTTTAGTAGAAAGCAGGGAAGGAAAGTGAAGGACTTCTAAAAATTAATTCTCAGAGGAAGGGAGAATGAATATCACTGACTTGGGAAGACAGACGTGGCTGGAGGTGAGTCACTGAGGGGTATTTATATTTATAACCGGGAGTGAGCAGAGAAGGTACAGTAATCACAGGAGTAGAAACACCAGAGGCTAGGTGCAATAGTTCACTGTACACATCTGGTCATGTATCACTATATAGCTTATATATTTTCTTTTGCTAAAGAAAATGTCAAAATCATTTCAGTTTTCTTCTAACCTGCTTTGTAAATAAAGGCTATTGGGTCTTGATGCATGCCAGGCATTATGGAGCAGCTAATTTTAGCTTAATGCTAATGACAATCTTGGACAATTAACATGTTTGTTCATATAATAAACCGCAAAAAGGGGAGCTAGAGGGCCCATCTAAGATTTTTACATTTTAAAAAAAAATGGTTTTTGTTGGTTTATTTTTGTTTTTTTTGGAAATGTACACTAATCATAGAGTAATCAGGAAGGGCCTTAAAGAAAGTCTGCTAGTACCAATCTAATCCTCTGATTGTGGTTCTGATATATTCTACATAATACTTTTTGTGGGATATTCAATATATGAATAAGAAAATCTCAGACTAGCTACTGAAACATGTTCAATCAGCCACAATTTATTTAATAAATAAAATGATATGATGCAGTTTAAGTCCTGTGTTTTTTGTGTATTCTATTTATTATTTTTGACTCTGTGATTTACTATGACTCCCGAGAGAGGGGTTTTGCCGGGTGGTGGTTTTATTGTTCTAACTCATTAACTCATTAAAAGAATAACAACACCGTTAATTGAATGTGTAAATTGATCCATGACTCTCGGAGCTCGCCCGTTTCCTTCGATGTTCTGTAATGATTTATCGTTAGACATTTGTGTTAATGTGCCAGAGCTTATTTTTCTCCCTGTAATCCGTGGTCCTGGACCAGACCAGACACAGTAATGAGAAACATTTATAAAAATAATATCTGTCATTTTGAAATTATTTATGCACATAAATTAGAAATGATTTTTATCTCATTCTAATATTTGATGCTAAATGTGTGACAAAACTGTGAGAGTTTAGACGCAAATGCATCACATATCAAGCAGGAGACAGTAGAGGTCCGATACCATAAATGTTTTTAAACTAAAAACAGTCAAATACATACTTGATCTTCTGTTCTCTTAAAACAGGCGAGTCAAACTAATTGTCACTGGGGGGCACATCAGCAATACAGTTCCTCTTGAAGGGCAACTGAGAGAAGACTGTATGGATCCCCAACCCCCGGTCCGTGGACCAGTACCAGTCCAAAGGTCATTTGGTACTAGGCCGCAGTGGGACACAAGGAAAAAATTACTATTTACCAATTCCTTTCATTCAAACACTGATATCTTATCCATTTACGTTATTTATTTAAAGATATTCTAATTTTAAAATAATAGGTCATTCAGACTCTGATACTAACAGAATAAAAGTCTAAAATATGTTTTAGTTTGAAAATGTAATGATCCTTCAACAATGGTTAGTGCCTTGCTACCAGTCTGTAGTAACGGCTGGTACTAGCTGACCAGTCCTTGGAACAGAAAAGATTGGTGACAGCTGGTATATATATATATTTTTTTTCATATAACACACACATATAAAGTACATGTACAACTTTTATTCATTATTATAATTGTGAGACTGTAATTCTTGTCTCCGGACAGAATTACAAGGTGTGTAAAGGCTGACTCATTGAGATGCAGAAAGAACCAAAATAGACATTGTTTCTTTCCTGCAAATTTGAATG